ATGTTGAGGCTCATTTTTAGCCGGTTTAGCGACAGACATTTACACCTAATTTTTAATAGTTTCATTCGACTATGTTTGTGTGTGGAAATGAATTGCTTCTTACATCAATCTAAAAGGATAAGTATACACTGTGACGAATCCTACAGCAAGTCAAGGAATCATTTCGCGAACTCAAATTTAGACCAGACGGGGGACACCCGATGTCATTAAATCTTTAGCCAGTGGAAAATAGGCGACCCAAAGGTGACCTCCCAATGAGTCTTAGCACCATAAACACTTCCTGCAACCACATCAAACACATACTTAAGCTCAGTCCCAACTCGAAACTAGGGTGCACCATCCATAAGTTAGAGACGCAACATACCAGAACGAACTGTGAACCAACTTTTACTTTTTAAGAGTAGTCAAATTCTAAAACTTGCTGCTGGCTTAGGTGTTCAAGGTGATCTTCTGAGAGTCCTTTCAGAGAGAACATGACATATTCTAAAGGACTCTAGACATTATTTCACTATAATTTACTAACATTTATCTTTTTGTCGTCACACATACCTTGGTTCCTACATAAAGGCGTCGGTGATCCACCGCTACCAGATACGAAGCCTCATAAGTGAAAGCTTCTTCAATTCCGTCCAGAACCATTTTAATTTAAAAGGACAGTGGTATTGTTTCTCGTTGAGTTAATTAACTGTTTTGATCGTAAATTACGCATCAGAACTTCTGTTTACCCTTTAATTGCATCTACCCCAGGTAAAGTGATATTGTACTGAGTGTTTCGATTTCGCTTTTGTGTATTTATTGCATCGAAGCATACTTGGTCGACTTTTACTTGATTTATTTAGTTAAGGTTTGAGAATCCTTTTACATCTCCTGTTTTTGTGACCATTCTAGTTGATTTTCAAGATGGCTAGATCTGCTCATAAATGTGGACAACCATATTGCTTATTTCCCGTGGAGGAAGGGATGCAATGTGATGAGTGTAATAAGTGGTTCCATAAGATGTGCGCCAGATTAAGCCCCACTGCATATAAAAGGTGCTCAAAGCCCAACTCTCATTGGCTTTGTAGTTTTTTGTTGCTCGAGCAAAACGTTGCTCATCCAGGACGCAATTAGTCTCCTGATGTTGGCTAATAAGAAGGTTGATGAGGGCTGTACTGGCAACCTTGGTACTGATGGCGAAGATTGCGTTAGTGCCGTAAGTGCCGTCACGGCGCAAGCCAGACATCTAACTGTGCAACCCGCTATTAAACCGTCTACTCCGAAACAATCAATGAGTGACACCTCATTAGATACTGGTGGCCATGTTGCTACGGCAGCAACCGGTGACCCAGATAAAACAATTACTGTTCCGAGTGGTTCTAATGTGTATGCTACGACTGATGGGATATGAATGACACGGAAACGCAGAAGAGTAGGAAAGATAGCTAAAACCAATGACCGTTTACTTGATAAGTCCTTGGTGGACTTTCAGACAACTCCGCCAAGTTCCTATAGTAAAGCTTCGTCTAACATTGTTGTGAGTCACTCGCCCGACTCCCAGGACTCTGTTACAATAAAAACTAATCGTAAGATACCAGTAGTTAAAATACAGGATCTAACGTCACGATCGAAAGCTGTGAACACAGTTTCAAAAGAAGCTAAACCCCTTTCTAGTTTAATTATATGGAATCTAGAGGAGTCGAAAGACAATGACCCTGCTAAGAGACATGCACCTGACCTACAGTTAGTGGAGTCTGTGGTAAGGAATGTACTACCTGAAGAGGTTTCAGGGGTACATATTACAAAAGTAATACGACTTGGTAAATGGGTTGGAGGCGAGACCCAACCAAGAAGGATCCTGAAGCCGGTTATCGGGAGTTTCGAAGAAAGAGACATATTATTGAAAAACGCACCAAAAACTCGTGACTCAAATATCCGTATTCGACCAGATTGGCCGCTTGAGGATCGAATCAAATGGAAGAATGCTCTTACGGAGTTGAGGACTCGCAAGTTAAATGGCGGATATAACCTTACCATTAAGGGTTTTCGGGTAGTCAGGTCTTCAAAGCCAATGCCTACGAGGCCTGTATGGGTAGAAAGATTGATTGCCGAAACACCCTAAAAGTGTGTGCTACACGAACGCTCTTAGTCTTAAAAATAAAACGTCCAAGCTAAGTCTGATGGTGGAAGAATTATGTCCCGATATGATCGTTCTTACAGAAACTTGGTTCACAGTAGATATAGACTGTTCTCCTTTCATTGCAGGTTATAGAGGGGGAGGTATAATATTATACGTTAGGGATCACTTTCGTATACAATCAACCATATCGGAGGCTCATATAAGTGGCACATGTGAGGTTGCATGTTGTAAGATTAAATCTAGAAATGGGTTAGTGACTATAGGGGGAATATACCGTAGTCCGTCTTGTCTTGCTGACGACTTTATCCTAAGACACATCTGTTCTTGGAGTATGGCAGAATGTTGTCTCATCATTGGGGACTTCAACGCACCTCATATCAACTGGATAGAGCTTACAGTTCCAGGTAGTGGTTTCGATAGCGACCTTTTATCTACCGTTATTCAGTGTGCACTTGTACAATGTATCACAAAACTGACACATATTGATTTCAATCATGATCCGTCACTGCTGGACCTCGCCCTCACCCACCACTCTGAGGATGTCTTCGATATTCAGCACCTTCCCCCACTAGTGAACAGTGATCACGTTGTAATTCACTTTAAGTTTAGGACACATTTTATACAATCCGTATCTGTTCCACCCCGTCCCAATATCTGGAGAGCCAATATTCCGGAAATCAGAAACTGTGCTTTCTCGACTGATTGGTCGGTCGACGCGGATGGATTGATCGAAGATGAATGGAATACGTTTAAGGCTACGTCGCCGTTTATCCCATGGTCAGCACGTGAGCTATCACATTGCCCTACATGGATTAATAAGGAAACCCGGAAGCTGTTAAAGCGTAGGAAACATTTCTGGGACTTATTCTTGTTGACAGGTCATGCACCATTTAAACGTGAGTACCAAAAATTCCGTAATATCTGTAAGAAAACCATAGCCAAATCCCGTACTACTTACGAACGACAGTTAGTATATGATAGCCGTACTTGTCTTAAACCATTGTTTTCTAATGCTAGACGGCGAATGAAACGTAGTGATGATATTCAGAATTACTAGCTGAATCAGACTTTTTCAGACTATTTTAGTGAAGTCTTCTTTACGTTTATTGTAACAAATACTTGTCACACTCACACCGAAGTACCAACCATGGAATCTGTACAGGTGACTGAGGAAACTGTCCTTCCGTTAATAACTAACCTCAAACCTGGTAAGATACCAGCCCCTGACGAGTTACATCCACGGTTGCTGTCATCTCTTGCGGACATTGTTTCAAAACCGCACGCAAACACCGTTCAACATGTCCCTTTCACTCGCTCAACTCCCTAGAGATTGGAAGGATGCTATAGTTAGTCCTATATTTAAGGACGGTCAGCGACAGATAGTATCTAACTACTGGCCTGTCAGTCTAACTAGCATAGTCGTTAAGTTACTCGAAAAGATAATTCGGGTTAGGTTGCTAAGCCACATAGTTTCACACAACCTATTAGCTCCTGAGCGACACGGATTTCGTAACAAGCCTTCATGCTTGACCAACTTGTTTATTGCGAGGGAGAATTGGACAGCAGCCCTAGATAACGATCTGTCTGTCGATGTGATATTCATAGATTTTAGCAAAGCATTTGACAAGGTTTCACACTTAGGTGTTATGCAGAAGCTCACGAGCTTCGGAATAATAGGTACTGTACATGCGTGGATAGGAAATTTCTTATGTGACCGCAGACAGAGAGTGAGGGTTAACGGAACGCTATCCGATTGTAAGCCGGTCAAAAGTGGTGTACCCCAAGGCACCATCTTAGGCCCTCTGTTCTCCCTTCTCTACGTTAATGAGTTACCACTGTTGCTTAGGTCATCGACATTATTGTTTGCGGATGATGTGAAGATCTGGAGGACAATAAAAAGTGCGGCTGATCATCTGGATCTTCAAGCTGACTTAAACGATTTAGTTAGATGGGCTCGAGAGTGGGGCTTAGAAATCAATGCTAGGAAGAGTGTACTAATGCACATCGGTCACGGTAATAGTTACCGTTACACTATTGAGGGTAAACCTCTTCCTTGCGTTCAAGAGCATAAAGACTTAGGAGAAGTATTAAGTCATGATATAAAAACAACTACACATTGCAAAGCAGCCACTGTCAAAGGTTTTCGTGCGTTATGGTCACTTCGCCGAGCATTCAAATCTTTTGACGAGGAAACGTTTCGAATTTTGTATCCCATATATGTTAGACCACATCTAGAGTGCTGTATCCAAGCAGCTAGCCCGTGTCTGGTAAAGGATACTAACTCCCTTGGGCGTGTCCAGCGTGTAGGTACGAAATTAGTGAAGGGTCTTTCTAGACTCCCTTACGATGAGCGTTTAAAACGACTAAATCTTTTCCCCTTGTCGTATCGTAGGACACGACGTGACCATATACTGGCACTTCGTATCTTTAATTATGATTTGGGTGTAAATATGTCCTATCTTTTTGCTCCCTCCAGCACTAATAATCTCCGAGGTCATAGCAAGAAGGTTCATAAACCACGATCTAATAAACTTAAGTGGGATCCCGTTTTTCTCATCGAGTAGTCAATGATTGGAACGCCTTACCCGAACAAGTGGTATCAGCCCCATGAGTGAATACTTTCAAGGAGAAGCTGGACCTTCACTGAAAAGCAATGTGTCAGGATTAATACAGGTTCACCAACCTACTATCCTTATTACTGAAGACTGAATAATTTGAACGTTTTTTAGTCTTATAAATAGCCATTGAGAGGATTCTTGCCTATCAATATCGAATGATTATCCTTTTAGTTTTAACGCAGGTTTCAGAGACCATCTGAGTTTTGCCTTTTTGGACTACAGTTTACAGCTTGAACTATTGTTTTTATACATTGAGAGCTTACCTTACTTAAGGTCGTGGCAATTTCAACACCAATGGTTTCGTCGCCAGCCGACTTAACACTCGACTTACAGGTTGCTAAAAAGGCAATGGAATCACCTTGGGTCGAGAAATACAGACCCATTGATTTAAACGATATCGTGGGTAATGAAAATACCATCTGTCGTTTGTCCGTTTTTGCTCGAGACGGCAACTTACCGAACATCATAATAGCTGTAACCTGTTTTTTATTTCTTACTAACCTTTCTGTAGGGTCCTCCAGGTTGTGGAAAAACCACAAGTATCTTATGCTTGGCCCGCACTCTGCTAAAGAGTGCCTATAAAGAAGCGGTCCTTGAGTTAAATGCATCGAACGAAAGGGGTATCGAAGTAGTAAGGACTAAAATCAAGATGTTCGCTCAAAAAAAGGTCAGTCTTCCCGAAGGAAGGCAAAAAATAATCATCCTCGATGAAGCCGACAGGTTAGCCGTTCACTCTATATAAGATTGTTGTCACTGAAGCTTTAAGTCCCATAGTGTTGTTGAAGATTACCTAAATCCTCTATGTTTTTTTGATACGTTTATTAATTTTTCCATATTTAATAGTAATACAGATTCATCGGATAGCACTTTCTTACCGATTAAATTTTTTTCTGAGCTTTGGTCAACTGCCGCCACTCATAGAGTGTTACTTTGTCACTCACATTGTATACTGGTCAGGATAAACCAAGTTAATTCCTTGCGACTTATCAACATTAGTCTTACCAAACTTGAGGTAATCGGTTAATACTTTTTATCTTTTATTTTATTGGTTGCAAAAACTCAACCAGTAGTTGGCAGAAAAGAACGACATTCCTTAATATTTTTTCAAATCACACCGAAATTCACCATAAAGAAGTATAACATAAGTTATAATATTCCTAGTATAGACATACGATTTGGTTTAAATTAACTACTCTACAGGAATACCGGCCAATAACCACATTTGCCAACCACTAGTTACCTGTTTTATAAGTATTAATTATACATTTTTCACAACGAACTGTTCGTAGTAGTGGACTCTTAAACAGTCTGTTGTGAGTTCAAAGCCCTTCACCTAACAATTATTATACAAGCAAGCAGTGAAGTAGTTTTATCAACTACGATGCGTCGTATAAATATAGACCACTTTTTTTCCTGACTCATCCCAAATGTGATGAGTGTATGTTGTGCTAGTGACCGATCGTTGTTGTTACCTTGACGTGGTGGTCGGGCTTGCCTATCGTGATAAAGCAACCGAGCTATACTGGCTGAAACAACCGTTCCTCAAGGTACTACCATGTCAGACAGGTCGGTTGCAGAGCGGTAAGACTAAAAGCAACAAACCCAAAGTCCGAAGGCGAAGTCGTACTGCTGACTACTGAGGTGTGACAGCAGTAAGGTGTTTCCTTCAGACAACCAGCATGACAGAGATGCTGCCTTCCCACAAGGAGGGGTGGGGTTAAAAAAGGTCGACCCTAAAAATACACACCTCACCTTATCCCACGGATATCCGTCTCCGGTGGTAAGGTCTCAACAAGTACGGAGCTAACACAAAAATTATCCATAAAAAGGTCGTGTGTGACGGACCTCAAGCAGTTGTCCCTTGGGCACTGCGGTCACGCTCCCAGGTCACTAAGACCACCTCCAATTCAATTTCCTTTTCAGCTACCTCCAGAAGAACCCTTTCACGGTGTGGGCAACCGGGAAGTGATAACCACCATCATACCTCTAACAGCCCTCAAGATCACTGTATTCATAATCAACCTCTCTTCACTTCCTAATATTCCTCCTACATCGACTTTCACCTCTAAACTTCCTTTTTTGGCTTCCTCCTCAAATGTCACCATAGCCAACGATTCTAGTGCATGAAGCACTGTCCCAGGTCTACTGAAATCTCGCTCCAAACTGCACATTGGAGCCTTCAACGTATGCACCCTATGTCAAATCTGTCAACAGGCTTCCTTGGCTAGAATCCTAGGATCTCGTAACATTGATGTATGCTCTGTCTCTGAAACACACATACAGGATCCTAGTGTGCTCAGTCACTTAACCTCACCTCGCCAAAACGGAGGGCCGACGAGATACACCCTCCGTGTATCTGGTGACCCGACGGCCAGTTCTCATGGACTGGCAGGTGTAGGCATATCACTAAGCATGGGGGAGGAACAAGCACTGTTAGAGTGTATCTCCGTTGATAGTCGTTTATGTGTTGTTCGGTTAAACGGCTCCGTAAGAACTCGGAAGGATAGGGACACACGTCGTTGCCTTTTTGTCGTTTCTGCCTACGCTCCCACTGACTGCAGCTCAGATGAAGTGAAAGATGAATTTTACAAAAAGCTATCTGAACTTCTTCAGAAAGCTAAACGTTCAGACATAGTACTCGTAGGAGGTGACTTTAATGCCCAGACAGGCAGTTTAAATCAAACAGAAAGGCATTTAGGTGGATATTTTAGCATTCCAGCACAGCGAACAGATAATGGTGACCGTCTGCTGCAACTGTGCTCAGACAACCGCTTATTTTTAGCAAACACAAATTTTAAGCATAAGGAGAGACATCGTCTAACATGGTGGCTCGTGCACCAAACTAACGATGGACTCAAATAGACCATATTGCCATCAGTCATCGTTGGAGAGAATCGACAGAAGATTGTCGCTCATTCTGGAATACCTGCTTGGACTCCAACCATGCTCTAATGCGGACATGCATCTGCTTGCGCCTCACTGGACGCAGAAAAGCTACACTGAAAAGACTCATTAGAATTGAATTGAGTGATGATAACACCAAAAGGATTACAAAAAAACCAATGGATTTCTTCTAGGTCTATTGCACTCTCATCTGCTCCCAGTCCAGACGTTTAGAACGATGGGTGGAACATTTTAGAGAGCAGTTCAGCTGGCCTCCAGCTACTCTACGACTACCCTCCATTTCCAGACAGTGTGAATGGAACATTGAAGTAGGCTAAACGATTTTAGCTGAAGTTCAAAAGGCTATAGCTGATCTGAAACGAGGAAGGGCAGCTGGTCCAGATGGATTCACTCCAGAGGTCTTTAAACATGGTGGTCTAGTTTTAGCGATTAGTTTGACTAATATTTTAGCTAAAATCTGGGAGCTGGACGTAATCCCATCTAACTGGTCACAATCACTGATTGTCCCAATATATAAGAATGGGTCAAAATCATCCTGTGATAACCATAGTGGAATTAGTTTGACTAATATAGCATCTAAAATACTAGCCTCGATAATTATCGGACGCCTAACTAAGACTCGTAAACTGCAAACACGAGAAAATCAGACTGGCTTCAGATCTGGTTGTGGCTGCATCGATCACATATTCACCATTCGGCAGGTTCTAGAACATAGGCATACTTATCGGCGTCCAACAATGATGGTCTTTCTTGACTTAAAAGCAGCATTTGACTCGGTAGACCGCGAGATTCTGTGGCAGTGTCTGTCATTGAAAAGTGTACCTCAAAAGTACATAAACCTTGTGAAGGCTCTTTACTCGCACACCACTAGTCGAGTGAGAGCTTATGGCGAACTTTCATCTGCTTTTGCAACCTCAAGTGGTGTCCGTCAAGGCTGTCCACTTTCTTCATTTTTGTTTAACTTCATCATAGACATACTGATGGAAATAACTTTCTCATCGACTGAATTCTCAGGTATTGATCTCTTACCAGGAGGTCCACTTATCGACTTAGAATAAACAGATGACAGACCTGTTTGGTGAAGACGCTGATAAAATGCAAAGTCTTCTGGTAGCACTAAGCAACAATGCCAGAATATTTGGAATGCGTTCCTCTCCCTCTAAATGCAAGTTGTTTCAGGACTCGTCCGCGTAAACACCTGAATTAAGGATGGGGAATGAAGTAGTCGAACGCGTTGACAACTTCACTTATCTTGGAAGTCTGATCAGCCCTAATGAGTTGGTGTCTGAAGAAATCTCAGCACGGATTCGAAAAGCTCGTTTGGCTTTTGCCAACTTACGTCACCTATGGCGAAAATGAGATATCCGTCTATCAATAAAAGGACGAGTATACTGAGCGGCAGTTCGTTCTGTTTTACTTTACGGCCGCAAAACGTGACCATTAAGAGTAAAAGATACTCGTAAGCTACTAGTATTTGACCACAGATGCCTCAGAAATATTGCTGGCATCTTCTGGGATCACCGAGTAAGTAATAGTGAGGTTAGACGCAGGGTATTAGGGAACGATGGTAAATCAGTTGATGAGGTTGTGAATCTTCATCGACTGAGATGGTTGGGCCACGTGTTACGTATGCCTGAATACCGATTACCATGACGTGCAATGCTGACTGGTGTTGGGAATGGTTGGAAAGGAGTTAGGGGTGGCCAAACCAAAATGTGGCATCAGTCCTTGAAGTCACTAACTTCTGGTCTGAGCCATGTTGGTAGATGCAGACTACTTAGTTAGGATTCGCGTGACTATCGTAACCAATGGTTGGATACTCTGTGTGACGTGGCTCAGAATCGATCAAAATGGCGTAGGTGTATACACTCTTTGTCTTCCCTTAAATTAAGAGATTAAAATCGCTTCATGTCTTTCTTTCCACGAACTAATTCTTTCTTACTGTACTACGTCCTTATATGTAATCTTTCTTTTGTATATTACCATCACTACTTCTATGAATCCGGTGTTCATCTTGTTGTGCTAATGAGGTATGGCAACTTTGACCGATGCATATATGTGCCTGGTCCTACGTCTTAGCTGACTGACTTACTGAAAGTGATGTTGTTAGTTCTAAGCATCAAAATAAATTAACGTAGAGTCAGACGGCTTAAACTGTGGTTCACCTATTTCAGCTTGTAGCATCTCATCTACAATTGTGTCTGAATACGTTTAATGTTGTTAAACTCCTCAATTAATGTCATTCAATCAATAAAAATTTGTCTATATCTTTGAGGTGTCATCATATTTGTTTGAGCATATATGATTGTTCACGTCATAGCCTACACATATGTTACTCCTACCAGCTCAAATTTTAGTTGCTTAAATCGCTCAATCATTCACTTTCCTACATATATACGGTTCTTAAATCGTATTCATTCGCTCGCTAGTATTCTTCTGAATACACATTTCTATTATTCGCTTTGTGCTTGTGGCTTAGTGATCTGCGCTGCACAATAAAAAAACTAGTCAATGCTTCATATTGTCTTTTAAAGGTTATACACCGTTGCGAGTTATCTAATTGTGATTATGAGAACAAGTAATATTCAAAGCATTATGAATCATCCTGAAAATATTGCATAACAAATTCCTACGTTGCTTATGACGAAATCGGCGTTCGTAAACTGGGAGAAATCTCAAATCGCGAAATAATTTCCCACAATGTTTTTAAACTTTGTGTTTCTGTTTCGCGGCAAACTAGTTTCAGTTTGATGACCTTAACTCCTTATCAAAAAATCTTGTGTCCCTGTTTCATAGTATGCGATGAAAAAGATCCACTAAAGCTCAGTGTATCAGTGTTTGACTGTTTGTTTGATAGTTTTAGGGTTAACAGAATTTTAATTGCACTTCGCTCTTACAAATTCTCCTCATTAGCGTTAAATTATTATTACTTCTACATATACTTCTCTTATTTTGTACATAAGCATGACTGAAGGTGCTCAACAGGCACTTCGACGGATCATGGAGTTATACTCTCGAACAACTCGTTTTGCATTGGCTTGTAATGATTCTTCGAAGCTCATCGAACCAATACAATCAAGATGTGCTGTTTTACGTTATGCTCGTTTAACATCTGCACAAGTGATGGCCAGATTGCTAGAAGTTTCGCGTATCGAAGGTGTTTCGTATACAGAAGAAGGTTTGGAAGCCATTGTGTTCACTGCAGACGGTGACATGAGGCAGGTAAAGTTTGTCTTGTGTCTTATAACGTATTTGAGAAAAATGAAATATCCTATTATAAATTTGAAGAAAGTAAAAATGAAGATTTCAGTTAAATGATATAAATCCACGGACCACATCTGCTTACAACCTAGAAACAATAGAAATAACCATTAAAGAGCAAAGTAAGCATGGATATTGTAAATCAGCAAGGTGTTAATTAGATTTTGGCTCAGCATCCAGATGTTGTTTGATGGTAGGCCAATAATATAAGTACTCTAGAAGAAATCTGACAGGTACATAAAAATAGTTTTTAAAAATTGGAAATTTGTGTCATAGTTTATATCATAATTGAAAAGATTAGGTAGCTGAGTAAAGCCCAAATAATAAATATGAAATATAAAACTATAATAAATGCTCTGGAGGTCATAATAATAATTAGTAAAGGACTTCAAATTTATTCCGCTTAGTTGAAGCCATTGTTGTGGAAAAAATTTAAACCAAATTTATACTTCCGAAAAGTCAGTTACCAACCATGTTTTGGTGACCTCATTCTCATAGGTTCGTTTCATACGTGTATCCATTTTCAAAAGATGATTATGTTTTTTAGTACTTAAAGTTTCTTTCAGACCTCTACTCCGTCAACTAGTATGGTAACAACTAACTGATAAAAAGCCTCTAAGTTCGGAGTTAGTAAAACACTCCCTAAAGATTTTTGTAAAGCGGTCATTTCAGGGTCCTTGGCTATTATTTATTGGTGTGGCACTTGAGTCGAAAGTTCAATTTAACTAGACTTCTCAGTGCTAAGTAATCTTGTGATATAAAATGGGTGACTGTCATCAAATGTTTTTTAGCTTGTCAATAATGTTCACTACATCTTACGGTTGTTGTGCTTCTCAAGATAAAACTTGTCGATAATATTCATTATAACTCGGATCCGTTGTTGTAAAAAGACCCCTGAGAATACAAATAGTGTTTATAATTAATTTTTTCAAAATAGAGATTAATTTACTTAATTGCATCTTGGCACCGTTCACATTGTTTACTGGCTTTACTCCTGTATCTAATATGTTTGGTTTCTTTGAGATCAGGAATGCACAATGCTAGATCAACATAAACTAGAATAAATTGTTTATTCCCTCCTACCTTGCCTTGATTTACCAAATGATGCTAATTCTTTCTAAAAATTGTCTCTAGATAACATTCAACGTGTAGCAGTCGTTTGAAGTATGCAAATTCGTCTATGCGTAAAAATGAATTATATTTAAGGTATGATTTCTCTGTGATCTGAAATATTTTAACGAAAGTGAAATTCAGTTACTATTGAAGCCCATAATTTTTCCTCGTTATCACTTAGTAATCACTTCTTAAGGTGTGGGCTAGTTGATTAACATTGGTATAAATTACCAAGACAATAAGATAGCGTTTAACTTGATGATATGCTTAAGTTCGTTGCATGAATTTACTAAGGTTTCTTCTTTGCTAAATTCCTCTCCAAACTTTTTAAACGGTTATAATAGGCTCTAAATAATCTCCAATCAACTTATGAAGGATTTGGGATGGTCAGTAGCGATAATGTCTTTAAAGTGAGTACTGTTTGTATTTTTCTGTTGGTATAATGTTTACTGTTTACAATATGAATCTCTTAAGGAATCGCATGAATTGTCTGTGCAATCGAGTGATTGAATGTTAACCAGTGTACCTTTCACTTAGCATACACAAATGTTATAGTTCTATTTGATGAAAACGCTCGAAAAATTCCGAGTCTTCTGACCATCTTAAGTAACATAAATAATATTCTTGAGATGCATTTCTCCTCTAATGATAGAGTGAAGTAGTTAGTGCATTGATCATCCCACTTATTTTGGAAGTCTCATCAGCCCTGATGGGATGGTGTCTAACAAAATATTGGCATGAATTCATAAAACTCTTTTAGTGTCTGCCAACTGGGAGACAAGGTTATTGTGTAACCTAATCTTGAAAAATAGAGGATGGTCGTAAGTCACTACTATTCAATCATAAGTGTTCTTATATTTTGGGACCGTCCAGTTAGCAACTCTGAGGTTAGACTCAGAGTAGTAGGTAAATATGGCGAATAAATTGACAAGGTCAGTCAGTCACCTACAACGTAGAACCAGGCACATATATGCATCGGTCCATGTTGACAAGGTAGTAAATCTTCATTGACTTAGATGGCTAGGGAATATATTACATGGACACTGACCGTTGCACTGAGGTATGTGAAAACTACTTACCTGCCTGTTGTTCATCTGGTTATCGTAACTAATAGTCAGAAACTTTGGGTGACATGGCACAAAATCGTTCACAATGGCGTAGGTAAGTCCATTATTTGTTTCCCCTTAGACACAAGTTCCTAAATCAGTGCCTGATTATTTCTATTACCGCTAATGCTCTTTACTACATCTTACTATGAGGGGTCTTCTTGACAAGTTCATCTCGTTGTGCTGATGGAGTATGACAACTTGAATTGATGTGTACACGTGCCAGGTTATAGGTTCCATATGAGTGACTAATTGAATGGATTTCACATATTTGTGCTCTCGTGAAGATGTATATATATATATATATATATATATATATATATATATAATCTGTTCTTTGGTAAAAGCTTTAATATTGGTTGTTATGTTAAGCAAAAGACTCTTTGAATAGGATTAAATTACGATAAAATTAACACTTCAGAAAGAAATCTTTCTAAGCCGTTAGAATTACCATAAAAATGAAAATAAGTTGATCCTCTCTGGATGTTAACAAGTTTAATAAAAAACCTAAATGAACCTATTGCATAAAAATAAATGGCTTTTGAACAGTCGAACCATGAAGCGGAAGTTTTGATATAATCTGCGAAAGTTTCAACAGCCAGAGTCAGATAAAACGTCTTTAGGAACTCAGAAAAGATTATCTGAAGTAATAATTTGCATTGGTGAGAAAATCACTAACTGTTCATTTTTCTCATTTTAATTCATAGAGATATAACGGAACTTATATACAGATAATTAGTTACAATTGTAATGTAACTCATTAGATTCTTGCACCCCAGCTCCATATAGTATATTTAGTATAAGCTGGAAACTCTATACACTTCCCCAAGTCAAAGTAGAGTTTCGAAATGGCAAGTGTTTGAACTGCGAAACAAAGTAGTTCTGAATATTTAGTGTACTAGTTTGCACTAAATTTCATAATTGACCTACACTATAAGACGTGCTTATTCAGTGCGCTTTATTAAAAATGGAAATATATATCACAGTAACTTAATCACTTTCAATCAGTTAATCGGTCTCTCGAAAGTAGAATTGTTCATTTGGTCTTTACCAAGCGTATCATTTCATTAGGCTTCAAATTTGTTTACACTTCAACCTGGCAACAAATTTCAATAATTTAAGATATCTGTTTGTCTGTACGCGAATTGAATTTGCCTATTTGTGAAATAACCGAAAAACAGTTGTTATCAAAATCGCATTTTTTCACATAAACTTGCATGTGAATACTCACTTAGAATAAACATTGATTTGAATAATTTTTACATTCATGTCTTTTAGACTATTAGCTATGATAATCTAGAGCTGAACCGTCATGCTGAAATTTATATATTTTTATACTGTAGGACAATAGTTTATCTGGTAATTTTAATTTTTCATCAAAACATTTGATAGTCAGTCAAATGCTCGTTCTTATTAGTGTAAACTATAATTTATCAACTCCTGTCAGCCTTTCGCTACCAAAGTTTCCCTCCTAAACAACCTTACTACTGCACTACCAAATCTTTCGCTTCCACGAACATACATTAGCATTCAAGTAACATGATGCTTTATCCATCGTGTTCATGAATGTTTACAGTTACAGACAAAAAATAAACGAGTCTTTAATCAATAAATTCTTTCAAGTCCTAAAATATTTCTTAAGTTATACTACACTCCTTACTTGTATGTTAAGAAATCATGCGCTTGACTATTCAGAAATGAAGCTATTGGGAACACAACTATACTTAATAACATCAATTAAACACAATTCACATGTCTTATCAAACAGCAAAACAATCAAATAGAGAAATTCAATCCCCTTTCTTTTATGAAGTAATTCACATCAACTACCATAAGTGTGGAATCGAGTGAGGTATGAGATTTCTTTCTATTCAGAAATTCATACCAACTAGTAAATACATAATATTGTATTCATTAATATCATAAGAATCTATAAGCCTATTAAAATCATTATTTTGTGGTAATAATTATTGAATTCATCCTAATCTTCATATGGCAGGTTTGTGATGAACCCCACCCAATGCTTATTAAACAGTTGATTGATCATTGTTCTAAGGGTGAATTGTCAGCTGCTCACAAGATCTTACGTCATTTATGGACTTTGGGATATTCAGCTGAAGATATTATCACCATCACTTTTCGAGTAATAAAGAATCATCCAATGGAAGAGTATCTCAAATTGGGATTTATAAAAGTAAATTATTATAGTCTTTCTGCTTTCTTATAGTGAAGTGGGATCAAACATTTTTCCATCAAGTGCACAATTTTGTAAACGCTACATATTTATTTTCTTGCTTTGTACATTTCTTCATGAAGTACAATAGTAATACCAATCAAACTAGAAACCAAAACCTTTTTTATTCGTAGATTTCGTGACAAAAGTATAATATGACATTTCATTCCAATCGCTGTGTATTTAGAATGATATGTATTTATAAAGAAGGGTAGTAAATTCACTAATCGACAGAAAATCCGAAATTTGTTGTGGGAAAAATCAAGATGATATGAATTCGTATAGTTTTGATGAAGTAACGTGCAACCTCCAGTCATTGATAGATTGTGAAGTGTGAGTAAATGTAGTAGTTGCAGTCTTCTCATACAGCACGCTAATGCTGAGGAGCGAATAACAAAGAGAAACTTGAACAGACAACTCAGTAATAACATGGAATCTGTGTGTGTTTAGTGGTACAAAGAGACAACAGTGATTGGTGTACGAACGTGAATTTGATCATATTTTGTGTTACAAGCTAAAATGACGGAAAGTTGAGCTTCGGATGAAAATACATAAATCATCGTCAACTTTCCGTCTGTGATGTGTCATATGATTGTAGATAATGAAGCATCAAAATGTATGATTTTATTCTGGGCAGTTTCAATGTCGTAGCTTCTTCTACAGCTTGTTTACATTTAAAGTTAAAGTACAGTATTGGAACATAGATTTGCCAAGTTAGGTTTTTTGATAAACTATGATCTTCCGTAATTATTTATTTAAACTTATTGTCATTTGCCTTTTTACAGGAGGTTGGCCTTACTCATTTACGAATTTCCGAAGGACTAGGTACATACCTACAATTAGCTGGTCTCCTTGCTCGCCTTTGTAAAATAGTGTTACCAAAATAAAAATTTTGTTTTTATTAATATACCATTTCCGAATGTTTATTTTGTACAGCTAGTGACTACCTTGATGTGCTTGTATTAAACTCTTCTCACGTTTTAGATTTTTATTTTTGTATTACGACAATGTTAAACTAAAATATATAAACATAACAACCTGGCTAAGTTCATTTTATCGTCTAATAATTGTTGCTAAAAATAAGATAAATAAATGATACCCATCTATGTTTTTTCTCACTTACTGTGATGATACTGGATTGCATGTTTGTTTTTCTACAAATTAAGTTGATTAATAGGGTATCTGTGTGCACAGAAATGTTAGTAAATATATCCTTTAGTTAAATCGCACATTTAAATAGAGAAATAACAAGAATATTTGCAAAATACAATGAATTTATTGTATTTCGTTGTTAATAGTTTTAGTTATTTCCAATTTGTAAGATAATTTTAAATTTATTTCTTAATAAGTTGTATGTAATGTGAATGAAAAACAGAACTAAAGTTTCGAAAAATCCTTTCTATAATTACTTGAAGTAAGAGTTTTAGAATGTTAAGATGTTATTAGTCAAATTAGCAACATTTTTTAGAAGTTTAGAAAGGGAAAGTGAACGTGTAAGAAAATAAAATGTTACCGAACCGTTTGACCGATCCTGGATTCCGTAAGCATCGGTTGTGCGCAGACCGAATTGCGACACTACGGATCATCGTCGAACAATCACTTGAGTGGAACTCATCACTGTACACCAACTTCATTGATTATGAAAAAGCATTTGACAGTATAGATAGGAGGACGTTATGGAAACTTCTTCGACACTACGGAGTTCCTGAGAAGATTGTCAATATTATCCGGAACTCATACGACAGACTACAGTGCAAGGTCGTGGATGGAGGACAGCTGACAGACGCATTCCAAGTAAGGACCAGAGTCAGACAAGGCTGTCTACTCTCTCCCTTCCTCTTTCTTCAGGTGGTCGACTGGATTATGAAGACCTCGACATCTGAGGGGAAACACGGCATACAACGGACAGTTGAGGACCAAATAGACGATTTGAACTTCGCAGATGACCTAGCCCTCCTATCGCACACACATGAACAAATGCAGATAAAGACAGCCAGTGTAGCAGCAGTCTCTGCATCACTAGGCCTCAACGTGCACAAGGGGAAAACCAAGATCCTCAAATACAACACGGACAACAGCAATCCAATCACTCTTGATGGTGAAACTCTGGACGATGTAAAATCATTCACATACCTGGGAAGCATCATTGATTAACAAGGAGGTTCAGATGCAGACGTAAAGGCGAGGATTAGCAAAGCAAGGATAGCATTCCTACAATTGAAGAACATATGGAACTCAAAACAACTTTCAACCAATATCAAAGTCAGAATCTTCTATACAAACGTCAAGGCAGTTCTACTGTACGGAGCTGAAACTTGGAGAACTACAACAACCATCATCAAGAAGGCACAAGTATTTATAAATAGCTGTCTACGCAAGATACTCAACACCCATTGGCCGGATACCATCAGCAGCAGCCTTCTGTGGGAGAGGACACACCAGCTTACAGATGAAGAGGAAATTAGGAAAAGATGATGGAAATGGATAGGACATACATTACGGAAATCACCAAACTGTATCACGAGGCAAGCCCTAACTTGGAATCCTGAAGGGAAACGGAAAAGAAGACCAAAGAACACTTTACGTCGGGAAATAGAAGCAGATATGAAAAGGATGAATAACAACTGGAAGGAGCCGGAAAGGATTGCCCTGGACAGGGTTGGATGGCGAATGCCGGTGAGCAGCCTATGCTCCTTCACGAGGAGTAACAGGCGTAAGGAAGCCATTTGAAGGCTAACTACTCGCTCTTTTTGAATACGATGGTCAGCTTTATCATTTCTGTTCATTATGACTTCTGCAAATGTTAATAACGTCAAATTGGATTGTTTATTGATAAATTTGAATGAGTCTATCGGACCCGTATTATGCCCCGTGACTGACTAGCAGGTGGGGTTCTATTGAACCTTGTCAATTAGTTCCAACTTGAATGCGTGGGTTTCTTGGAATATGTTCATTACAACAGATAGTCACTTGTCTTTTTGTCCTTCTGACGTACATGTAAATTGATATATGCATTTAGAAGTAACATCGGATGTACACTTTTGTTTGTATTAACAAGCACAGTGTTGTATATATTCGTGTAAACTTTGCAGGTAACATGATTTTTAGGGCTGCTTTTGGTTTCTGATTAGTTTCACTCATTTGATAACTTTTGAATGACAGTTGAATCAAACATTCTTTTCAGTTTTGCATTCTTCCGTTTTATTTCTGTATTTATTACTATATTTATAGTTGATAGCGGATAAACATTTTCTTGCAGATCGTTTCTTATTATAGTATGTTCCTTTGGTCAACTTAACTTTCTGGCTCTTTGGTTGAGCGTTTTCACCGACTCATATTTATAGACAATAGGACTAAAGCTTGTTTGTCCACTCCAGGTTTCCTTACGATGTATATACCTCTGACAGGTCCTATCCTCTCTTCTGGGAATATCTAAGTCGAGAAAGTAGAACGTGTCATTTTCTTCACGTTCCATTGTGAATTTAGTATATGGATCAACCTTATTAAAAGATCTAAGTAGTTTGTTTGCATGATATGGGTCATTACACGAAACAAAAATATCAGCACACCTCACATCAAGTGCAGTCACGTTAATTACAAGTAGTGGATATATTCTTTCTAAATTTCAAACAGATTTGTCAACAAGTACTGTCCATCACCACGTCATCTGCTTAATAATTTGTTAAACTGGGATCGAAAATTATTAGTACATCCTCATTAAGAATTTGAAGTGTGAGTACTGGCTAACGGTGTCGGTTGTTCCTTCTAAAAAAACATTAGTAAAAAATTGAAACCGTCAGTCTATACGTTGTATTTATTTGGTCCATCACTTGTGCAAATTCGAAAGTGTCCCTGGCATTTTTTCTGGGTATTTCGTTACGAATTCATTCTAGTTTGTTAGCTAACCATAGGGCTAGATTGTAGCAACGAAAACTCATCATTGATTTGTTGGCCTCATTCGGTTATTGGGTTTACGTGATTCAACCTGTCGATACATAAGTAGTAAACGTGACCCGCGTAGTTTCAGCTGACTGTATACCTCAACATCATTTATTTTGGTTTTATTTCTCAAAATAATTTGGGTTGTTTTACTTCTTCATAATGCAGTCCTGCTCTTGTTCGAACCCTCTTCTTGGAATTTGTTTGGACTTGGTATTCTTTTTTGTATCCAGTCAGATTTATTCATCGATACCACCACAGAATCCTTATCTGCTTTAAGTAGTGATATGTTGTCATATTTCCGTAGCTTTCGTAGGGAAAATGATTGTGGTATCGATGAATAAATCTGACTGGATACAAAAAAGAATACCAAGTCCAAAAAAATTCAAAGAAGAGGGTTTGAACAAGAGCAGGACTGCATTATGAAGAAGTAAAACAACCCAAATTATTTGGAGAAATAAAACCAAAATAAATGATGTTGCGGAACGACAATTTAGACGCCCCACAATCGTAGTATTTCTCGACCTTAACGCAGCATTCGACTCTGTTGATCGTGAGGTTCTATGGCAGTGTTTGGCAGTGAAAGGAGTACCAAAGAAGTACATTAACCTTATAAAGGCTCTCTTCTCGAACACAACTGGTCGAGTGAGAGCTTATGGCGAACTGTCATCAGAATTGATTACCTCAAGTGGTGTTCGTCAGAGCTGTCCACTCTCCCCATTCTTGTTCAGCTTTGTGGTCAACGTACTTTTAGAGATAACACTTTCCTCGTCTAGATTTCCAGGGGTTGAACTTCTACCGGGAGGTTCACTTGTTGACTTGGAATATGCCGATGAAATAGTTCTATTTGGTGACGACGCTGACAAAATGTAGAGTCTTCTGACCACTCTAAGCAACAATGCAAGCATGTTCGGCATGCGATTCTCCCCCTCGAAATGCAAAATGTTGCTTCAGGATTGGGTTACATTGACACCCGAACTAATGATAGGGAGTGAAGTAATTGAGCGTGTCGATCGCTTCACTTATCTGATCAGCCCTTGTGGTCTGGTGTGTGACGAAATCTCAGCACGGATACAGAAGGCTCGACTAGCTTTTGCCAACTTGCGTGATTTATGGCGTAGGCGAGATATCCGTCTATCAACCAAAGGACGTGTTTACTGAGCAGCAGTTCGTCCCGTCCTACTTTTTGGCAGTGAAACATGGCCGGTAAGAGTAGAGGACATTCGTAGGTTACTAGTATTCGATCATAGATGTTTTCGAAACATTGCCCGTATATCCTGAAACCACCGAGTAAGTAATGCAGTTGTCAGGAAACGGATGTTAGATAAGGATGACAAATCAATTGATGAAGTAGTGAAACTTCATCAATTGAAATGGCTGGGACACGTGTTACGTATGCCCAACGACCGACTGCCTCGACGTTCGATGTTCAATGGTATAGGAGTAGGCTGGAAGAAAGCTAGGGGCGGCCGGACCAAAACATGGCACAAGTCCATGAAGTCACTAACAAGTGGACTGAGTCATGTTGGTAGGTGTAGACTACCTGGTTGGGGACCGCGAGACGATAGCAACCGATGGTTAGAGACCCTGAATGACATGGCTCAAAATCGTTTGCAATAACACAGGTGCATCCGCTCTTTGTGTTCTCCCAAATTTTAATCTTCTCAATTCTTCATATCCTTTTTTCTCTTTCCAAATTTGTTTCGCTGGATTATATTCCTTGAATAATATCTCCAAACCCTAATCTTTCCGATTACTGCTTATACTCTTACAGCCTCTACCATTACGGGATTTGAATGGACAATTGCATCTCTGTGCGAATGTGGTATGGCAACTCGAACTGATGTACGTACGTACGAAGTTCCACGTTGGTACTGACTGAATGACAATTATCTCTTCACATGATTTTGGGTTAAACGGCTAGCTTATTGTTGGTACCAGTGTACTATAACTGATAATCATGAAAGGAATATATCAAATTATAAACGTTAGCACTCTATTCAAAAGTTCTAAGCCTTACGGATTTCTCGTTGCTTGATCACTTGTCTTATTCATTGAATGGAATTTAAAACATCTTGTCTATATCACAATAAATGAATATCAAACTGTCCCAACAATATTGCATCCAAGTATACTCACCAATTTATAGGACTGGAGTTTCGAGCGA